TGGAACGCGCCTGGTCATACATGCGAAGCACCACAATAGACACTGGCCTACTTCCTTCTTTACTGCATGTGCAGGAAATCCCTCAGCACGTGCTAGCTCAGCCCAGAAATCAAATTTCCTCTTAAACTAATCCGCATGTATATGACCTCTTGTCACATGTGCAGCCATGCCTAGTGAGGCCTGACTTCCCAAATGTGTTCCTACACCCCAACACTCCGTCCTTACACCCGAAATGCAAAAGTTTAATTGGCTAAACATCAAGGAAGGTTTAACACGGTTCCAAACCCAACTACCCAAGGCATAACTCATCACATAAAGGTTCAAAAGTACGATTGTAAGTCCGAATATGCGGGTTCAAGTAGGGTCTAAGACTTGGGACACTACAATTAAGGTTTTCAAAAATGGGTAATAGAAGAAAGGAATATGAGAGAGAAAAGAAAGGATAGGTTTGTAATTTAACAAAGATCATCACTCATTAACAATTATTTTACATATTTTCATCTCTATTCTTATTTCTTTTCTTTTTTTTTCTTCCATCAAATTGAAATATTTCTTTGGTTATTTCATTTTTTTTTTTTTTTGCAATTTTTCTTTTAAATTTAGGTTTTTTTAAATTTTTTTTTAATATTGATCTTATACCATCACTTTGTGTGGAGTCTATTATCATTTTGAGTAAGAAATAAAAATTCAGCGGTTTAAATGATTTCTCTAGATTTTTTTACATAGGAAAAGATGAATAAGTATACCATATTTTACCCCTTTTATGTTTGGCTATTATTTTTTTTCGGCCTTTCATATCTTAAGTTTTTCTCAATTTACTCTTAAAGCTAAATTATGTTCAAAATTAGATGGAAAATATCATGTTGGATATCACATGACATAAAAAATATATTATTATACTAATGTTTGGGTTTGTGTCAAAAATATGAGTTATCTACAATAAAATATTTTTATACCACGTGGTTGTCAATGTGTTATTTATTTTGGTCTAATTTTAAAAATAAATTAGCTTTTGGAGTAAATTAAGAAAAACTTTTATGTAAGGCCAAAGTGAGAAAAAATAAATAAATAAATAAGGGCCAAAGGGAAAAAATAAACAAACATAAAGAGGGCGAAGTTTAATTTACCCAAAGATGAATTGTACAGTGTAATAATAAAATTATAAGGTTCAAACTCAAACATCACGTCTCACAAAAATGTATTTCAACACCTAAATACTTATAATGATAATGTCATGCTACTATACACACCCTTTTTGGGGTAAGTTACAACATGAAAACTGATATACAAGCCTATTTTCTAAATTCACTTTTTAAACTCAATGATGTAAACTTGAGATGATTGGCTAGTAATTAAGGAATATATAAGTGAGAAAGTTGTTTTATATTCTTTTTAAAAGAGTACCACATCATTGAGTTTGAAAAGCGAATGATTTTTAGGCCTAAGTAGTATCACCATGTAGATTTGACCGGCCTTAAGACTTGGACGCTTTATGAAAAGCTCTCGATGAAGCTATCATTCAGTGGTTTAAATGATATCTCTAGATTTTTTACATAGGTTTCTCCCAATGAATAGGTATATTATATTTTATCTATTTTATGTTTGGTCATTTTTCTACTTTGATCATTGAATTTTTTTTTTCCTTCACTTCCGTCCTTTATATTTTAAGTTTTTCTCAAGTTACCTCTAAAGCTAAATTCTGCTTAAAATTAGACAGCAAATGTCATGTTGGTTGCCAAATGACATAAAAAATGTATTATATTAGGGTTTGAGTTTGTATCAGAAGTATGAGTTACATATAATAAAATATTTTTATGCCACACAGTTGTTAATGTGTCATTTTTTGTTTAATTTTAGACATAAATTAGATTTTGACGTAAATTAAGAAATTTTTTTATGAAAGGCCAAAGTGAGAAAAAAAATATAAGGGTCAAAGTGAAAAACTATAAACAAACATAAAGAGGACAAAGTTTAATTTACCCAAAGATGAATTGTATAGTGTAATAATAAAATTATAAGGTTCAAACTCAAACATCACGTCTCGTAAAAAAGTATTTCAACACCTAAATACTTATAATAATAAGGTTCCCAATGAAGAAATCAGAGATCGTTCCGAGCAACAAGTCAGGGATGGAGTGAAGCAAACCTTCCCTAAGCCAAACTTGCCTCACACCTGTTTTGGCCAAAATATTTTCTGGACCCTAAAACCTATTTTCAAAATGTTTTTTTAGGCATATGGCACTTTTTCATTTATTTTGGCCATTCTTAACATTGTATTTTCCAAAAATGTTCAATTCGCTTTTCAAAAATGATAGCTTAGAAAGTCAGAATGAATGAGAAAACTGGAAAAGCCTTCTGAGAAAATCAGCCGAATAAGACATAGTTGGCCGAACAACTTTCCAAAAATCGTGCCAGATAACTTTTATCTTGTGGCGGGCATAACAATTCGGTGGTGGGGCGCGACCAGACCTTTTCAGCCTCACCAGAGCATTTTTTAGGAAATACGCCGTATTACTCTACCATGGCCAAACAAGTCTTATCTGGCGCAACCTGTTATGACGTTAGCCAAACAGCTTTCTTGTGAGGTGTCCCATGGATCTCGGAAATATGTCATCTGGACCCTAGGGGATCCAAAGGCATATTCTAAGCCTCCCAAGCCTATAAAAATCATTCTCTTTGGAGAATAAAGGGTTTCCAATTACTGATTTATGATTTCCTAATTAAACTCTCAATTCCTCCGATTAATCCCTCTAAAATTCTAATTAGTTAATTAAGTAATATTAAATTAATCAAATTGAAAGAGAGATTGGTGAGATTCTTGAACTACTTCCTATATCCCTTTGCTTGGAGACTTGGAGCTAGAGATCTTTTTTGGCTAGAGGGAGCTTCGATTGGAGTTTGTGACCAGTTTAGGTCCTATCTCTACTAACTTAGAGGTAATCCTTACTTCTATTATTGCATTTTCTTTCCAATTCTATCTTTACCCTTTTTTTTGGAACTTTTGGAGATTTTGAGATCATTTGTTAAGTTATTGATAACATAGTTGGATTCTCTCTTCTTCTCCCTTTCTATAGCTAGTAGAGGCTAGTATAGTGACTTGGGCCAACTCCAAATTGTTTTCTTTTTGATTTATTATGCCTTAGAAACCCAAAAACAGCCCCCTCTATGAGAAAATACCAGCTCTCCCTTCCTGAACCTATTTTTTCATGGATTTGAGTAGTTTATACTCATTTTCATGAGTAGAAGGAGGAGAACATTTCTCTTCTCATTAGAGCTTCTTCTTCTTTCTTTGCTATTTTCATTTATTGATGCTTTAGAAGTCCAGACACAACTTCCTCCTTGAGAACAGACTGAATCTCCTCTATGATCACCATTTCCATGAATTCGGGTAGCTTATACCCATTTTCATGTGCTAAAGGGTGATAATCTTTCTATCCTTGTTGGAGTTCTTATTTTGCTACTTTATTAGATAAATGATGATGTAGAAGCCTAGGCATGACTTCCTCCTCGAGGATAGATTGAATCTCCCCTCACGTCACCATTTTCATGAATTTGGGTAGCTTAAAAAGGGTGAAAATCTATCTATCATCGTTGGAGTTTTTTTTTTTTATTTCCTTTTATTGCATTTTCTTAGCTTTTATTTATTATACTAGTTGTGTGTTTTAGAGTGAGTTTGTTTTCTCCCAACCCTTTACCCTCTCTCTCTCGCTCTACCTTTATCTTTTAGCTTTATTCTGTCTTCATGACATTCACGTGCTTAATTTAGAAACATGCATCTAAGCTCGAACCATTATATTTTGGTAGTTATGTGGTGTGTATTCTTGATGATTCATATGCCATCTTATTAGTGTTCGAGTTCCTAACACTCATCTTGTGTGAATTTTTGCATTAACTTTTGTATCTAGGATCGTGCATATTTCTAATTAGTTATTTTCTATTGCACTTCGCTGGAGTACTCGGTAAGTCTTCTTTTATCTCCCTTTGCATATCATTTAAACTAACATCTAGGATCATGCATCAATTTCTAACCTTTTACGCTCTTGGCATGGCGTAGAGAAGTATTAGGTAAGCCTCTTTCATTTTTGCATCATGTGTGTGATTACTTCTTATTATCTCTAATATACTATAATGAGATTATGTGTTTATGTGATATAGCTCCATGATTGCTCATTGTATGGAGGCCTAATTACCTAAGTTGGAATGACTACGACTTCTTCGCATGACAGATATCTTAATTTTTCATAAGATTTCTAGTTTTAAACCCTTTCTTTTAAACCCTTTCAAATGGCAAGAGTTTAGAGCATCTCAAAGTAGGTGATTTGGTCTATATTTACTTACTCAACATAGTAAGGATAGCATTAATAATTGGGTTATATGATCATATTGTGTTAATAATTCTCATATCAAGAATTAGTAGAAGCCGATCTTTGATTGGGTGAACGGGGGTGCTCAATTCATGACCTTCTTCCCTCATATCTAAACTCCCGATCCGAGACACTTTGGTTATGATGAAGTATGGCTTTTGGCACGAGTCAAGATTTCCTAAGTTTCCCCAAAAAGATTAGGTAGCGACTCTTGAGTCTGGTGACATGATCCTTATTTGACATTTCTTGTGATTAGTGAATTTTTCTATAGACTTGCTAGATTCAGGCCTTCACTTACCTCACATTGCACATTTGTGAGCCAGACCGAGAGATGAGGTCTGAACTGTGCGAGTACGCTCGAATACCCTCTGAGGAGATCCCACACACCCTTACAGAATATGTAGTGTTGATTACTACAAATTTTATGATTAAATCATTTTCAGTCATAACTATAAAAAAATTTAAAAAAAAAAGAAAAGTCATAACCAAACACCACATAAGGTATAACTAAAGACTAACAAAAATAATAATCACAATATGTGATAACTAATATCATAATGATTCACAACTAACAATATAATCAGTCATAACTAACACCATAATTAATTATAATTAACACTATGAACATCATAACTGTAACATATGAATCACACTCCAAAACGAGGTGTGTATCATAAAATTTCTCTAGCGAAAATATTATTTGTTGTACCAACAATATAGTCACTCTAAAATGAGATGTATATCATAAAATTTCTCTAGCGAGGATATTATTTGTTTTACCTAAAACAAGATAGTCCCAACTCCTACTATTACAAAGCAACAAAATATCATCTGCACTGTTGCCACATTCCGTATGTGATGGATATTAATATTTCAAACGTTTAGAAATAATGCAACCTTAATAGATAGAGCTTCGTTGTTGACTGATCTAAGACGATCGAGTCATCCCTACTTCAACCGTTGGTGCCGTCGCTATTTGACGATTCTGTTTCTCCACATTCCCTTTCCATCCTTAAAAAACGATTCATATCCAACAAAAAAAAAATAATCAGTGTGTTTAGTTTGAGTTTTTTAGATTAAATTTTGTAAAAATTGAGTTTTTTATTTGTCGTGTTTTTTTGTTTTTGGTGAATATTTTTAAAATTTTAAACATTTTATATATTTTTTTAGATGCACCTTTCTTAGATATATTTAAAAAGTGAAAAAATTGTGAAAAAAATATTTTAAAAAATTAACAAATACATAAAAATACGAAAAATATACTAATTTTCGTACTTTTTTTTGTATTTTTGGTATTTATTGAATTTTTAGAAGATTTTTTTGCAAAAATTATACTTTTTATATTTATTTATGTTAAGTGTGTCTATTAAAAAAAATTACTTAAAATATTAAAAAAAATTTAGTAAAAACAAAAAAATACAGAAAATAAGAAAATAAAATTTTCTGAAAACTGTTTTCAGAAAAACGAAACCAAACAAGATATTAATATCAGATTAACTGAATTTTTTTTTTTTTTTTTGAATCATCTTATCAATGATCCTAAATTGAGTCTTATGAGATAAGATGAGCCCGCCAGCTCAATCACCAATTGAGTCTTATGAGACGAGACCATGCAGAATACCATATCTCCAATCCATGACCAAGTAAAGAGAAACCATGTCCATATTTTATGAGACGAGCCCACCATCCTACTATTAATTTTTAAAAATATTTGGTACTTGTATTTTTTTTATTAAGTACTCTTAATAATGAAGACAGGCTGGGCTTCCCTTCAGTTGGTGATCGAACTGAAAGATATTATTGGGTCCGTGAAGGTCTATCACGAATTTCGTTTTGATAATTTAAACTGTTTAATATGTAGAATTTGTAGTGTACTATATGTCTGTAAAAAATCACGTTGATCAGATATCGATAGTTATCTCATAGGATCAGATTTCTGTCAATCGTTTATTTTTTCACTGTAACTATTGATATCTGATCAACGTGATTTTTTACAAACATATAGTACTCAACGAGTTTTACACATTGAACGATTCAGATTATTAAAACGGGACCCATGATGAACCCTCATAGATCCAACAGTACCCTCCAGTCCGTGCCAACCCCAATGCAGAATTCTACGATACACATCTTTCATAAAGTTGTGTACCATATGATTTAGTTACAATTTTTGTAATTTTTTATCAGGACCTATTGTGATGTTAGTTATGATTTAATTATTAGTTATGATTTGTTTATAACTCTTATAGAGTCAGTTACGACTCATTGTGATATTAATTATGATCCAAAAAAGTTTTAGTTATAAGAAAAATTATATTTTATTCCCATAATCTATTGTGTGATACACTTTAGACTCCTTGAACTAAAAATTATAACAGTTGACCCCCTTATCTATTAATTTTTTTTTTTAATTTAGACTTGCACGAAAATAACTTTTTTTTTTTTTTTTTGATCAGGCAAAGAAAATATTTCATTAATCAATATGAAATTAAAAGTACAGGAAGATGAAATGCACTGAGAGAGATTCGGAAGGTACAAAATACCCCTACTACTGCTACTCGCAGCCATACAATCAACCCCTTTGCCTCACGAATTTTTTGAAAAATATAAAAGTTAAGAAGAACTTAACAGAAAGTAAAATACATGATTCCCACCAAATCAACCCACTAAAATAACCTTTTAACTATAGAAGTAAATTACATTTTACTTCCTTGAACTATCACTCAATTGTACTCTACCCCTCAACTATAAAACATAATAATAAATAATAAAAAAAATTGATTTTTAATTTAAAATAAAATTTTCAAGTTTTTTTATTTTAAATTTTTTTTATTTCTTTGGCTTTTAGTAAATTTTTTTCATATTTTAGTTAGATGGACCTAATATTCTCCGATTTGGAAATAAATTTTGAAAAAATCACTAAAGACGGAAAAATTAAAAAATTAAAAATAAAACAAAAAAATAGGTATATTTTTGTAATTTTTTGTCTTTAGTGGGTTTTTTTTTTTTTTTAGATTTCTTCATAAATATTTTTTCTCTGTTTAGTTTGATTTTCATTTTTTTTTAAAAAAACTAAAATTAATGAGTAAATTATAAATACACCCTAAGAGATTCGCTTAAAACACGGATTGCCCTTTATAGTTTGGAAATTAACTTATACCCCTTCTAGTTTCTAATTACACAACAAATTGCCTATTTTATTAATAAATTATCAAGTCAATTAACATTTCTAATGACATCATAAATATATTTCAATTAACAATTCATATAATTTTATTATTTTATAGGAGAGTAGTTAGAAATTTCATTTTTCTATTAATTATGTTAAATAAGAAAATTGTAACAAGGGGCTATTTGTAATTTCCAAAATCACGGGAGCAATCCATATTTGAAGCAAATCTCAAGGAATGTATTTGTAATTTACTCAAAATTAATCTTGTGATAAAATGAAAAAAATAAAAGGGTAAATTACGAATACACCCCATAAGGTTTGCTTAAAATACGAATTGTTATTATTCAGATTCAAAAGTTAAATTCATTTTAGTAATATGTTAAGAAAATGATTAGTTGATAATTAAATATTTTTTAATTATCAATCAATCATCTTCTTGACACATCACTGAGTCTAAAAAGTGAGTCTAATAAGTGACTACAAAATTATCAAATTCAATTACAAATTGGTAGAGAAAGAGAGATACCAAGGCACATGTCGAATCCGCGGTTTTTGAGCTCGCGGTACTCTTGACACAAGGCACAAGGCTCGCAGAAGCAATGAACCAAGCCATCATCGCAAGGAGTTTCTTGCAACGTGATGCTACATATCATGAAATAAATATCATGAAAAATTTCATGAAACTAATCCAAGGGTGAATGCATAACATACAATAAAACACTATAAACACTATAATCTAATTCAAGGGTGGAGAATCTTCATGAAAACTTTTAATGACATTATTTTCATGATACCTAGCATTATTGAACATATATTGTTGCCTTATTTTGGAACGATAACGGCAAGAGTAGATGCATGGATAGCCTGTCAAGGCCGCTGTTAGTGCGTACATAACTACACTTGCTTCACATGCTGCACCAAACATCACTATCAGTATTAGTGATACCATAATACGATCACATATACATCTCCAACACATCTCCAACTTTAATCTCACACAATAAGTAACTTTTCCTGATTAATATATAATTACCCAAATATAATTATGATTCACAATCTCCGAACAAACGTAAAACTTACAGGGTGATCCTTCGTCTGCAATCTCCGCAATCTGCCCGAAAGTAATCCAGGGACACCAGCACGTTATGCAGCCTACAAAAATTTTTAAAAAAAACTTACAAAGACAAGAGATAAAAAATAAAGTACAATTATAGTAAAAAATATAATTCTTACTTCTCGAGCCCGAGATCTTTACACAGTCATGTGTATTTTTACATAGTATTCTGCTATGAATACTAAAACACATTACAGAATATATATTAATGACTAACATTTTATAGTGTTTGTTATTGTAATCTACTTTTGAATATATATATATATATATATATATATATTGTTCTGTGACTGATTTGTATATCTGTAGACTTATGCGTGCTTCACGTGTAGATTAGAAGATTCAACATACAATTAGGGATGTCATCGAAGCAGTCGAAGAGGTCGGTAGACCAAGCACCATTAGTTTTGGGTAGTAGAGGTTGAGTTGGCGGCTGCTGGTTCCCACTTGGTGGTGGTGGTGGCGCCTGCGGTGGAGGATGCACATATCTCTGATCGGCAGCTGTGTTTGAGGAGTACATATAGTTGAGTAATGGAGTTGTGAATTGAGAACAGGAACAGGATGTCAAAGAGATAAAGAGGGATATTTTGGAAAGTTGATAATTGGGATTTGGCAGGCTGGAAATTTATACACGAGATAGATGGTCCATGTTAGTTAAGGGTGTTCCGTGTGGTGTGGGTGAATAGGAGGTTACACTTCCTAAGGCCTCGTTTGACAAGTGCTTCTTTAAGTTGAAAAATTTAAAAATTATTAAAAAAAATTAAAAAGGTAACAATTTATTTTAAAAAGTCAAAGATTTTTTTTTTTTTTTACTTTTTGCATATCTTTTCGTAAAAAATCAAAAATTTATTCCAAACATACTAGTTTTTTTTAATCACATTTTAGCCAAAAAGTCAAAAAATTACTTAAAATCATGTTCCCAAACGAAACCTAAATCTCAAATTTAAAGCATACGGATTGGTCTTATTTTTATATTTTTAATTTATTACCGGACATAAAATGGTACTACAGATATGTAATATATTTTGTCAAAAAGATGTTTTATAACAAGGCACTTGAGCGATAAATTCAAATTTGAATTTTTTTGAAAAAATTGTATTGATGGTCTTTATATTTTATTTATTGTCTCTTTATTTTCTATTGACTTAATTTTAACTTTTAATTTTAAATTTTGTTTCAATTTAGTCTAATTGATAATATCATTAGTATTTTTTAAGAAAAATTTTAACAAGATTAGTTGAGATTAACTCAATAAATTGAGTAATTTATAATTTTGTTCTTAAAAATATGACACATAATATTTATGTGCATATTTTTTATAAAAAAATTAAAAATTATAATTAATTGAACTAAATTCAAACAAAATTATAAATTTATGATTAAAATTAAAATAATTAAAATTAATGATGCTAAAATGATACAAGAATCAAAATATAAAAATTGCCTTATAATTTGCCCAATTTTCTTTCCTGAAACGTCACGCGTTGAAATATGTTATCCATAAGGAAAAATTTCTACAAAATGATCAAAATACCTGTTCTTATGGATATACGCGTGGAATCTCTTCGCCTATTTCTCGCACTCTTTTTTCAACTCTCCGGAATCTCTCTCTCTCTCTCTCTCTCTCTCCTTTCTTGGTTATGTTGTTTGTTGAGTTAAATGATTTCGGAAACTTTTTCTTTCCTCGTAGAATTCACGGTTTCAATTGACTGTTTCGGTGTTTCTATGGACTATTTTTCGGCTGCAATTAATTTAAAATCAAATTAATGCAAAATTATCAAAATTTTATTCAACCTGTTTAGTTTCATAACTCAAGATTCACTTTACAGAGAATTAAAGATAGAGTTTTTTAAATATGATTTGAGAATATGAATTATATTTTAAATTTGTAAGTTTTGAAATTATGATTTGAGTGTAGAAAATTTATTTTGTGAATGAGTTTTAAAAGGAGTTTGGAAAAGAGTTTTTGAATTAAGTGATGTGACATAATTTTTGATATAAAAACTTACAATTCATAACTAAATATACAACCTAAAATTCTATTCAAAACTCATAAAAAAAATTTAAAAAAAAATCGAAAATATTTTTTATTTAAAATATAAAAATAACAAGTGCAAAAATAAAATAAAATAACGAGTATTGTTCTGATCAACCGGCCGGACGACTGGCCGGACGTCCAAAGTGACGTCCCGAGGGATGACTGAATACACGAAGTTTTAAACGCGGGTGTGGAAATGATTTTTGAAAACTGTAAACAAACGCCGCACTGAAACTAAAAGGTGGAATCATGATTTAAAAGTTGTACCAAACACAGCAAAATTTTTTATTTTTCATTTTTTTTAATATTTTAAGTAATTTTTTAATTTTTAAATACACATAATATAAATGCACTTAAAAAGTATAATATTGGTGAAAAAAATCTTATAAAAATTCAATACATATCAAACATATAAAAAAACATACGAAAATTCAATACATTTTTCGTATTCTTATATATTTATTAATTTTTAAAAATATTTTACTTTTTAAATATATCTAAGTAAGGTATATCTAAAAAAATAAAAATAAAACTTAAAATTTAAAAAAAATGAAAAAAAAAATTAATTTTCAGAAAATTAAATTTAAAAAAATTGAAAAAAAAATTGATTTGGTGCGTTTACAAATTTGAATTTGACATATTTTTCATTAACCTCTCTGTTAATTTCTTATTAATTAATAATTTTCACTCTTGAGTGAACAGTATTTTAGTGTAGAACTTTGTGTAAATTTCACGTTTCTCTAACATATTCATGGGCCTCTCGTCTCGTTCTCCCATAATTTCTTCCTCTTTCCAGAACAATATACAGGACTTTTCAAAGAGAGTACGGATGCTCAGCCGCAGTATCCCGCCGTCCAGGCCTGCCCTTGAGATTTTTAGGGTTTAAAGTCAATAATCAACTAATAAATTTTTGGAATTTTTCACATTTTTTTTTCATTGAATGAAAAAAAAATTAAAAATAAAGGATAAAAAATTTGTGTCAAAATCACAAAAAATACTTAGCATTACATTACAATGACTAATAAGTATCGCTTGATCCTCACTCTTCTTGTATTTTTAGAAACAAATAAATCAATCATACTTGCATAATCTAATTTTTTTACAAAATCATTTTCAATAAATAACAACGCTAATTATTTTAAATGGGCCTTAATGGATTCATTTATTTTAAGTTAATTTGGGTCTTTCTTAATTTTTTTTGGACTTAAAATAAACTTAATATATTAGACTAAACTATAGAGACCCCTTTTTTGGTCTATTTTCAATGGATAACAATGTTAATTTTTTTAAATGACCTTTCAATTTTTTAATGGGTCAATTTATTTTAAGTTAATTTAGACATTTTTTAATTTTTTTAGACTTAAAATATACCTAATATACTATACTAAATTATAATAGAATGGGCCCCTTTTTAAAATATATTTTGAGGGGTCCTAGGCCATGGCCTTGTGGCCTATACCCCAAGGCCAGCCCTGCTGCCGCCCTCCAAAACGACGTCGTTTTGGAGGTTTTTTTTTTTTCCCTTCTGCTTTCCCCTTTTCTTATTTTGAACCCTAACCTCTGAGACAGAAGAGGCGACGAGAGAGAAAGAGAGAGTCGACGAACAGAGGCGACGGAGGCAGAAGCAAGGCGAGGCGAGGGCAGCGGAGACGACGAACGGAGAGGCTACGGAGGTAAAGCAAGGCGAGGTGAGGAGAGGCGGCGGTGAGGCCACTGAGGTGGCGGTGAGGCGACTGAGGCAGCGAGAGACGAAAAAAGGGGCTTGAACAATTAACTAATTTTTTTGGTTTGGTTTGCAGATCCTCTTCTCCCCCTCTCTGGTTGGGTTTGCAGATCCTCTCCTCCCTCTCTCTGGTTTGCTTTGCTTCTGTTCTGTTTTTTTTTTTTAAATTGAAATTTCCCCATCAGCGTTGTTGTGGGTACTTTGGGGTGACCAATATAGGGGATCTGTTGATGGTGTTGAGAGATGTATTTTTAAATTGAAGAGTATTCCTTAGTCATTTTTGTATAGTTGGTCCACAGAGGTGGTTTAATTCTTTCTTGGATCAATTTTTGGATTTTGTAAAGCCTTTTTGATATGGTTTGTGATGCATAATTGCTATACACCTTCTTCTGCATATGAGTTGTACACCCCTTTGTTGCCTGTTTTTCAATAAATTTTACTTATTTTAAAATTAAAAAAAAATCAAAACTGCATTTTCCTTTTACAAATTTAACAATTTCAAATGACAAAAATGTGAAGGAGAAGGAAAAGGAAAACAAGAAGATCAAGCCCTATTTGGTTGTAGTTTTAATCAGTCGGTACCAATTCTTCAACCTTAGGGTTGTTTGTGTGGTTAAGAGGGAGAGAAAGTTGATTTGGGTTTGTGTAAGGAGCTACGATGGGTTTGATAGTTTTTTTTAGACATCTTCTTCTCCCTCTTTGGTTTGGTTTGCAGATCCCCTCTTCCCCTTTCTGGTTTGGTTTGCAAATCCTCTTCTCCCTCTCTCTGGTTTGCTTTGCTTCTATTCTCTTTTTTTTTTCTTTTTTTTTTTAAATTGAAATTTCCCCCAAAACGACGCCATTTTGGGGGTGCCGTAGGAACAGCCGCAAGAAGGGGCGGCCAAGGATCCGGACTCTTTCAAAGACCTCTGTTTTCTACCAAATGACCCTTATAAGGAAATCATCAACACGCTTATATCAAATTAAGAAAAAAATTGGTATACTTACAGTGGTGTGTATGTAAATTAAATGTATAAATAAAATAAACAACAATCTAAAATAATTTAGAAAATAATTATACAAATTAAATTCCGAATTAAACGCTTACAGAAATAAAAGTTGAGACTTCTGTTGGACACAATCTCCTTAAAGTAGATTTCGTTCTCATTCTAGTGCTTCGAGATTTATCAGCATCTACTTCCCAGGATGTAACAACTAACACGTGATTTTACAGCACTATAAAATCAAGTCTGGCAAACCAAAACTCTGTTGTAGCTTTCTTTTTTTCTTCCTAAAATAAATGCAGAACTCATGCAGAAATAGGAAGATAGAAAGGGGAAAAGAATGACGAAAATCTGAGAAGAAAATTGAATGAAATGAGTTGCTAGAAGTAGGCTTTATATAGTAGGAATGATGGCTTTTCGAATAGGTGTCAACAGATAGGCAACTGTTCTAACAGATTCAAACTAGAAAAAACCTATTTGGACAGATTTGTCCGGTTTGAATACAATAGGTATGAACCTGTTTGGATGGGTTAGGACTTGTTTGGGTGAAGGAAAAAATTTGGACTAATTTATTTTGAATTTTGAAACCAAAATTAAAAAATAAATAAATAAATTATAAATGTTTTTGGCCCAAAAAGATAAGTATTGGGCTGGACAAGCCCAACCTAACCTTACACTTAGGTCCAGGCCCAGCCCGCCCGATTGGACGGACGGCAACGATGGTTTTTGTTTTGTGTCCAATAGGTCTAGCCAACTTTACTCATAATCTCACCATTCCACAAACTTAGGTACCCCTTGGGGCCCATCCCAAGTATCCTACGCTAATGTATATAAACACATTCAAAACCTTAAGCCTTTCCAATGTGGGACAAGCACATTTCACAAATG